ATAGGGTGAGATCAATTCTGACATCTTCTTGGGGGATAAATGCATGGCTTGATGAAGATTAGTTAACCATTTTCTCCCTAGTAGCTTAGGTATGCAGATTTTTTTATTTGGGAGGGTCCACCAGCCATTACAGTTTTGCTGGGCCCTCATTGAGGAGTATGAGTTTATTTCTTCTGTAGTATATGATGGGGCCTCTTCCCAAAATTTAACTGGAAATTTTGGATAATTGGAGAGTTCTAGGACAGCTTGGTATTTTGGCTCTCCAAGGGATATTTCCCTGGCTGTTTGATCTGCCAGGTTGTTACCCTGGGTCTGAGGACTATTGTCTTTTTGGTGTCCAGGCCAGTGGATAATAGCCAATTTGTCTGGTAACCAAATTGCCTCCAGTAGTTCAAGAATTTCTTGTTTATTTTTGATGGTCTTGCCATCTGAGGTTAGAAGTCCCCTTTGTTTATATATTTGTCCATGCACATGTGCCGTAGCAAAGGCATAACGGCTGTCTGTGTAGATATTCACCCGTTTTCCTTTTGCCCATCTCAATGCCTGTGTCACAGCAATGATTTCTGCTTTCTGGGCTGATGAGCCCCTGGGCAGAGCCTGGGCCCAAATAACTTCTTTTTGACCTGTGACTACAGCTGCCCCTGCATACCTTATTCCATCCCGGACATAGCTGCTGCCATCGGTGTAAAGGTCTGCATCTCTGACGGTGAGAGGAATGTCAGTCAGGCCTAGTCGAGTACCTTGGATGACATCCAGCATCTCTGAACAGTCATGAATTGGCTCCTCTGGATTGCTGTCCGGCAGCAGAGTCGCTGGATTGATGGCCAGGGATTTACTGAAGGTTAATCTGTCTTTATCTAGGAGTAGAGCTTGATATTGAGTGAGGCGGGCATTTGACATCCAATGATTTGTGGCATCCCTCAATAGAGCTTCCACTGCATGAGGGGCAGTCACAGTTAGAGTCTGCCCTAGGGTAAGCTTGTCTGTTTCCTTCACCAGAAGTGCAGTAGCCGCTATGGCTCGTAAACAAGGGGGCCATCCTGACGCTACTGGATCCAGCCTTTTTGAAATGTAAGCAATAGGCCTTTTCCATGGCCCTAGATTTTGGGTAAGAACCCCTTTTGCAATGCCCTTTTTCTCATGAACATATAGATGGAAGGGCTTAGAGATATCAGGGAGGGTTAGGGCTGGAGCCTGTGCCAGGGCCTTTTTTAGATTTTTAAAAGCTAATTCATTTTCTTCAGTCCAAACTAAGGGTGAGTTGCCCCCTGCAGTTGCAGTATATTAAGGCTTGGCAATCTCAGCAAATCCAGGTATCCAAAGACGGCAGTACCCAACTGCCCCCAGGAACTCCCTAACTTGCCTTTTAGTAGTTGGGATTGGGATCTTCGTTATGGCCTCTATGCGGGCTTGGGATAGCAGCCTTTTCCCTTCCCTCAGTTCATATCCTAGATAAGTAACTCGAGGAGAACAGATTTGTGCTTTCTTTTTGGAGACTCGGTACCCCAGTTGAGCCAAGGTTCTCAATAAACCCTGGGTGGCCCTTAAACAGTCCCTTTCATCCCTTGCTGCTAGTAAAAGATCATCCACATATTGGAGCAAGGTTATCTCGGGGTACTCACTGTGGAAGAGGCTCAAATCTTTGTTGAGTGCTTCATCAAAGATGGTGGGGGAGTTCTTAAATCCCTGAGGTAGTCGAGTCCAGGTTAGTTGTCCTGATATCCCCTGTTCCAGGTCAGTCCATTCAAATGCAAAGATGGGCTGACTCAGTTTTGACAAAGGAATGGAGAAAAATGCATCTTTCAGATCTAAAAAGATCTATACGGTGTAGACTGTATGTTCTGGTGGCAACATACTGAGCAAGGTATAAGGGTTTGGGACGGTTGGGTGTACAGTTTCCACCCGTTTGTTTACTTCTCTTAAGTCCTGTACCGGTCTGTAATCATGAGTCCCAGGCTTTTGGACGGGCAGCAAAGGGGTGTTCCAGGTTGACTGGCATCTAATCAGTATTCCCTCTTTTAGGAGACGTCTGATATGAATTTTGACGCCTTCTCTGGCTTCAGAGCTAATGGGGTATTGTCTAACCCGAATGGGCATAGCCCCAGAGGTTAGTTGGACTACGACTGGTGGCACATGTTTAGCTAACCCCGGAGGGTTATCTTCAGCCCAAACTGAAGGAATTTCTTGGATTAATAGTTTTTTCCATTTTCCCTCTGAAGCTTGGATAGGATTTTGAGAGAGCAGATATTCCTCACTTAATGGGCATGTTATAGTTAAGGCTCTTGTAGGACTCCCCAATTGTAGTGTAGGCATCTCCCCTGAAAATGATATAGTTGCCTGAAGTTTGCTTAGAAGGTCCCGCCCCAGCAATGGGAAGGGGCATTCAGGGATAACAATGAAAGAGTGAGTCACTGTTCCTTGTCCTACATCAACAGTCCGATCTGTGGTCCATCTATAATTTTTAATTTCTCCTGTTGCCCCTTGTACTTCCATAGTTTCATTAGAGAGGGGTCCTAGGGGCTTCTGTAACACTGAATATGAAGCCCCTGTATCCACCAAGAAATTTACAGGTTGGCTCCCAATTGTGAAGGTTACCATTGGCTCTCGGGAGCCTAGTTTGAAAGAGCCATGGTCCCCCTATTCTTCTAAAGTTAGGACTGGTTTTGGCTGAGGGGCTCCGGTCTGCAGCAGGGGAAAGTCTTTTCGATTGCATTGGGGGCACTGATTTTTCCAGTGTCCATATTCCCGGCAATAAGCACACTGATCTATTTGGAGGGGAGTCCGTCTTTTGCCCCTGCCATGTGCCACCTGCATCTGTCTGGAATTAAAAACTTCGGGAGACCTTAGTGCAGCTACTGTGGCCCGATTTACTTTCCTTATCAGTAGATCATCCTGGCTCTCTCTGTTTTCGAACACCTTTTGGGCTAGCTCCAATAATTCTGACCTATTCTTCCCTGCAAAGCCATCTATCTTTTGAATCTTTTTACGGATGTCTGGGGCTGACTGAGCTACAAAAGCCAGGTTAATCACCTTCAGATTTGTCGGGTCCTCAGGGTCTATAGGAGTATATAGACGATATGCCTCTAGGAGACGTTCGAGAAACGCTGAAGGCGATTCGTCTGGGTTTTGTTTCACCTCTGCTACTTTAGAAAGATTGGTGGGCTTGCGAGCTGCCCTCCTAAAACCCTCTAATAGAGCCTGGTGGTAATCGCTGAGTGCTCTCCTACCTTCAGCAGTCCCATAATCCCAGTCTGGTCTTCTTTTAGGTAAAGCCAAATTGATTACTTCCGTTTTCTCGTCATGCGTAAGAGAGTTTATTCCAGGCAGCGCTTTAGCTGCTTCTGCCAGGATTTGCTCCCTTTCCTCCGTAGTGAAAAGGGTATGCAGAATCTGTTGGCAGTCATCCCAGGTGGGGAGATGATTAAAAAAGACAGGATCAACCAGGGAAATCAGGGAACTAGGATCCACACTAAATGGGGGATTCTGGTTTTTCCAATTGTAGAGATCTGTTGTGGAAAACGGTACATATATATAACGACCTTCTGGAACCTGGCGGAGAGGAAGGACAAGGGCAGGAGTCACCTCTTCCTCTGGGATAGAAATAGAAACAGTGCCTGCGGGTCTGCCTGGGGAGGGGATAGAATCAGGCCTTCCATAGGGGCAACCCTGTCGGGTATGGGGAGGGGATAAAACAGGGGCTGGTTTATTTGGGGAAGTGATAACAGAATGAGTGGTGGAATGAGGTAGTTGCAGCGGCTCAGGGGAGGGGGAAGGAGGTGTGGTGCAGTTTTTGCAGCTGTCTCCATTGTTCCCGCACCAGCAGCAGGGAGATAAAAAGGAGCCCCAGTGTAGGGGGGGGGAGGAGGAAATCCTCCTGAGTGTCCTGTAAAACAGGGCTCTTAATTGAGGGCTCCTGGTAAGTTTTTTTGGTCACAATCAGGGCCTGCCCTCCCTGTCCATTCCGGACCATACAAACCTTCATCCAAGGGGGTGGATTAGTTGTTGCTTCTGCCCAGGGTAGGATATATCCTATTTGATCTGGGTGGCCAGGGTTGCCAAGAGTGGCATTAGTTACAGCCCATGCCACCTGGGGATCAAAGGTGCCCTCAGGGGGCCAGCCAACTCCAAAAGTGGGCCATTCTGCCTCACAGAAAGTTC